GGGCCCGGCCGAGCCGCGACCGCGTCCCCACCCCGGCCCGGGCTCCCCTCCGCCGAGCCGGAGGGTCTGCAGGCTGCACCCCGGCCGCCTCCGCGGGTTTACATTGTAGCCACTCGGACGAGAAGCTGTTTTAAATGTATTACCATGTTTCACCGAATGTAACGGGTAATTGCACTTTTCCCCGCACCGGGTGTGACGGGGCCCCGGAGAGGTGACTTTGCCTTCCCTCCAGCGGTTGGCAAACTTGGCTGCACATTGTGATCACCCCGGCAACTCTGGAGACTCTCCCGCCCAAGCCTCCTCCCGAACCGATGAAATCGGCCTCCCCGGGGGTTGCGAGGAGGCGCCGGGCATTTCTGAAAGCTCCGCAGGGACCTCAGGGTGCAGATGCGTCTGGGAGCCAGGCCGTGGTCCTGCGAGAGGCCTGGAGGGGAGAGCGTGGAGCAGTCCCTGGGCTGGACCCCCAGAGCCCCTCTGCGCCTGGCCTGGTTCTCAGCGGGTTCTGGCGGGTCAGCCAGGAGCCCTGGGTGATCCTCCTTCAGCTTTAGGTCTCTAAGCCTCAGAAAAGTTAGCTGGGCCCCGGTGACTTCCTAAACTTCCACCGTCAGCCCTTGTCACCTTCTGTGGGCCAGACAGGCGTGAAGCCCCCGTGAGCCCCGTGCAGAGGTTTGATGGAAATTCTGCCACCTCTGAGCTGGTCTGGGGCCCAGAGCCCTGGCCCTCTCTCAGCCCCCTGTCTGAGATTCCCTGGGGGCTGTAGGATGTGCCTCCGTGGCTGTCACAGCTGCTCCCAGTTAGAGAGGGCAGTTGGCATGCCTGTCCCAGGCCTGCCCGGGTCACCTCTAAGCAACAGGTCTCCGCTTTGCCCAGCGTGGGGGCCTCTTCAGCAGCAGCAGGGAGAACAGAAAGTGACACCTCTTCCTGTCCCTGGTGGCAAGGAAAGGCCGTCATTAGACCTGCCGTTGTCCAGTAAGCCCCGGGCGCTGGTACGTAGGGGGGCCAGTTCCCAGGTCACCAGTGAATGGTCACCACCCTCACTTGGTCGTAGGACTCAGCTCCCAACCTGCACCAAGGGGGCCTCGCCTACCAGGTTGAGGGCCTAGAGCTGGGGGGTGGGGGAGACCCTGGGTCATGGGCGACCACCCCTCTCCAGGAGGCAGGGAGGGGGCTAAGAGGTCTTCTCCTCCTCTTAGGAATGTCCCTTCCTCCCCTCCTCAGTGAATGACGTTTTTGGCAAACCTATTTTCATGTTGGAAGGGATATGAATCCATCATTATATATGGAGAAGAGGCTGCTCTTCTGCTCTCTCGCTTGGGCTCCCCGGTGTCCCCCGGGGTGCAGCCCTGCTGGAAAGGTGTCCGCAGCACTGACCCGAACTGTGTCTTGCTACCTGCAGCAGCTCCAGGTGGCAGTGAAGTAGGGTACTTTAGAATAACCAGCTGCCTCTCTCTTTTTATTTTTATTTCTTTTTATTTGTAATCCTCACCTGAGGATAGAGGATATTTTTTTCCATTGCTTTGCAGAGAGAGTGGAAGGGGGAGAGAGAGAGAGGGAGGGAGAGAGGAACACCGATGTGAGAGAGACACATCAATTGGTTGCACGCTCCCTGAATGTGGGGATCGAGCCTGCAAGCAAAGTATGTGCCCTTGGCCAGAATCGAACCCAGGACCCTTCAGTCCACTGGCTGATGCTCTAACCATTGAGCAAAATCGGCTGGGGCCAGCCACCTCTCTTTAAAGCAGAGGGCATCGTTAGTGGCCTGACCTGCTTACAGTTTGCTGAGAAATGAGGGTCAGATGACTTCCATGAAAATTCTCACCTTGAAACAGAAAACACAAGGCCACCCTTAAGGGTTCATCATGAAGTCTAGCCGGGGAGGAAAGTAGCTGTTCTCTATGACTCAAAGACAATCATACGTGACATTTTAGGCCAAGAGTCAAGGTGGGTGAACTAGTGACCAGCTGGGCCCGGGCAGGAGATGGGAAGGTCGGGTGGGTGGCTGCTCCAGCCATTGCTGGGGACGTTCGTGAACACGAGCCCGAGAGGCGGGGGCTTGTCAGAAGAGAGAGAATCTGTGGCCTTGGATTAGTTGGGCTCACACAGCGTCTCATCCCGGGTTGTCCCTTTCTCCCTCTGCACCCAGGCTCAAGAATGGGACATGGACGCCCGGCGCCCAATGCCGTTTCAGTTCCCGCCCTTCCCAGACAGGGCGCCCGTCTTCCCTGACCGCGTGATGAGGGAGCCCCAGCTGCCCACGGCCGAGATCTCGCTCTGGACCGTGGTGGCCGCCATTCAGGCCGTGGAGAGGAAGGTGGACGCCCAGGCCAGCCAGCTGCTGAATCTGGAGGGACGGACAGGGACGGCCGAGAAGAAGCTGGCCGACTGCGAGAAGACAGCCGTGGAGTTCGGGAACCACATGGAGAGCAAGTGGGCCGTGCTGGGGACGCTGCTGCAGGAATACGGGCTGCTGCAGAGGCGGCTGGAGAACATGGAGAACCTGCTGCGCAACAGGAACTTCTGGGTCCTGCGGCTGCCCCCGGGCAGCAAGGGGGAGGTGCCCAAGGTATGCGATGGTCCCCAGGGGCAGGGTTGGCGGCGGGGACCAGCATAGGTGGACAGGTTCTTGATTTTTTTTAAAAAAACCTTTTAACTGATCTTTAGAAAGAAAGAGAGAGAGAAACATCAATTTGTTGTTCCACTTGTTTATCCGCTCATTGGTTGATTTAAAAAAAA